CCCTCCCCCAGTTCCTCCTCCTACCCCCTCCCCTGTCTCTCCCTCCCCCAGTTTCCCCTCCTGCCCAACCCCCATGGCGCACCTTGGCCTTGGAGCGGAAGAAGGACTTGGCGAAGAGTTGGATGGGCAGGTGGGAGCTGATGATCCGGGGCGACCGGTTGCCCTGGGCCATCCGGAGGCCCAGGATAGTCTCGTACCAGGGCCCTCTCTCCCAGTTAGGGACGGTGCGGCACCAGCTGGGGTCCCCGTTGCTGCGGATGAGGCTCAGGATCTCCAGCATCCAGACAGTCCCTACAGCGACAGCCTCCGTGTGGGGAGCGTTGCTATGGACAACGGGGACTCCCCTCACTCCCCAGCATGTGGGCCTCAGACTCCCCACCCCTGAGCCCGCAAAGGCCTCGGAGGGGAAAGGGGGGAGGTAACTAAATAGAACCCAGGTGTCCTGGCTCCCAGCTCCCCTGCTCTAACCACTAGGCCCTGCTCCCAGAGCCCTAGCCCGGGCCGCGAGGCCCCCCCCCCCGTACCTGATTTCTGGTAGGTGACGTTAAAGATGTCGTCATCCCGGACGCGGAATCCGTTCTCCGCCTCCCGCAGCCCCTGTGCCGAGTAGATGAGCTCTGGGAAGCTGATCCCCTTGTACTGGAAATATTCCTTGAACATGCTGAGGCTGGTGATGGGGCGAGACGAGGCCAGTTAGACCCAAGATCAGCCCCCGGAGTTACCCCAGCCCCCTGCTTGGCGTGTGCGTATCTGCCTGCCTGCCTCCTGGAGGAGATGTGCCCTGCTCTGTGGGTGGGTGGGTGAACCGCCCCGTGGCGAGTGCCACACCCGGTCGCACCCTGGCACTGGTGTCTCAGATGCGGAGACATTTCACAAGGCTGCTCCGCCCTCGGCATCTGAGCTGGGACCAATCTCCCATGACGGGATCCTGGTTCCATTCCTCGTGGCTGCCCCCCCCCGGCTCCGGCCCATATGGTAACGCCTCTCCTGAGATGGGCGCCCATTTCAATTTTCACAGCTGCTCAGGACTCCAGGGGCCGGGCTGAGAGGGAGGGGGGAGATCAGCCACAAATTACCAGTGACGGCAGACGGCCAGAGTCCAAATGTAATGCCCTCGTCGAACCCAAATCGGCACCGGCGCCCGCGGGCAGAGACCCAGAAAGTCCGATCCCTCGCCAGCAGCAGACTTTGCCTCTCGGAGAATTCGGGCAATTCCGGCTGCAGTCTTGGGGTCAGTTGTGAAAGCAACGCGGAGTGAATCAACCCCGAATTTTCCTTCCAGTGCCGCCTGGAACTCTGGCGGAGCAGCCCACGCGGGAGAGTGCTAGAAATCGGCAAACGGAGCTGAAATCAGTCTTCGCGACGGACGAGCGTCAGTGAACCCTGGGCGAACCGCTGGCTGAGTAGGGTGGCCATGAAATGGGACCCGGGTGCGGGGGGTTCTGGGGGATCCCAAACTGGATCAATGCCGTGGCGAAAAAGGCAGATGTCAGGGTGCGCTCTGTGGACGGGAGAACGGAGCGAGGGCTTTGTTTGGTGGGGGTCCAGGAAAGCTCCATTTTGGGGCACTGCCCTTGCGGCGAGGAGACGGGGCAGGAGGATTAAGAAACCAAGCCAACAGGGAGAAGATGGGAAAACAGGCTTAGTCTGTCCAGAGGGGAGCCGGCTGATGGAGGGACAGACAGACAGTGGAGCCGGTCTGACTATGTCTAGACTGCAGGCTTCTTTCGGAAGAAGCTTTCCTGGAAGAGAGCTTCTGGAAAAGCTTATTTCGAAAGAGCGGGGCCACACTGCCAAAACGCAATGAAAAAGCCATCGGCTTTTTCAAAAAATAGCGTCCACACTGAACGGACGCTCTCTTGCATTGCAGTCGGGAGTAGTAGGGATGGAGCGGCCACCAGGGCCCCGAAAAGCTTTTTTGGAAAAGGCTTCTTCCCCGTAGAAAGAGGTTTACTGCCGTCGGGGAAACCCCTCCATTCTTTCACCTTTCTGTCAAAAGAACTCAATGGCAGTGTGGACGCAAGTATTGTTTTTCCGGAAAAACGCTGCCGGGTAGACACACCCTACGTTTGAGTTTCCAGTGATGAACCCAGTTAGCCGTCAGGAGAAACTGTCCAATGGGAAGGAGAATTCAGGTCCGTGGAGCAGCCGTGGGCTTCCTATCCGTGGCTTTGGCAGAAAACCCCTGCCAGGGGAGATCTAGGTGTATCTGGCCCTGCGTCGGGGCTGGATGCTGCTGGCTTTTCAATTTGCTGTGGCCATAAACTAGGACATCCCAGGCCTGCTGCTATGGCACCCGGAGCCAGCCCCACAACAGTGTGTGGACACATCTGTCATGCACAGTCTGTTCCCTCTGCTTCACTTCGGGGTGGAGCGGCTTGCGGAGGCAGGGCTGGAGAGGGACACACCTGTCACTCTGAGGCTATGGCGAAACTCACCTGCCCTTGGAGCAGGAGGTGGGGAGGTCGAGGTTGGGGTCGGGGCGCCACTGAAACACAGGAGATTTCTGGGAGCACTGTTGAGCAGGCGAACTGCTCCGAAACAAAAACTTCAGAGGGGGAGCTCTGAGTGAGTCTGTAACAGGAAAAACTTCAAGAACAACTAGTCTAGTAGCACCTTAAAGGCTAACAAAACATGTCGATGGGCTCACGAGTTTCGTGGGCACAGCCCACTTCTTCAGATGACTGGAGTATTGAAAGTCCAGATCCAAGAATAAATAAGAGGGTGGGAGGAGGAGGAGAAAAAAAAAAAGAGACAGTGAGTAGAACCAGATCCAAGAATAAATAAGAGGGTGGGAGGGGGAGGAGAAAAAAAAAAGACAGTGAGTAGAGGATTCAAATAGTTACGAGAGGCTGATAAGAAGAATTAGCATCTCCACTGGTTGGTTGGTGAAGTCATTAGCATGTCCAAGGTAGTGTGTGAGCCAGACCCTGTCCTTGTTCCGACCATTTGCATAAGAATTAAACAAGTGAATGAAGTTAAGTTCCAGTCCTTCTTTGTGTAATTGGCTTGCGGCATTGGCCTGAAACAACACAGCGACTTGGAGAGCCATTAATGAGTGTCCAGGCAGATTCAATGTTCTCCAACAGGTTGCCTTTTCGGAGATCCGATTTGCGTCCATTAATTCTTTCCCGTAGAGACTGTCCAGTCTGGCCACTATCCATGGCAGAGGGACGTTGCTGGCTCTTGATGGCATAGATCCCATTCGTGGATGTGCAATTAAATAAGCCCCTGATTTGGTAGCTGATGTAGCTGGGTCCAGTGATGAAATCGCAGGTGTGGATGTGTGGGCAGAATTGGCACCGGTTGATTGCAGGAGGGGAGGGAGGGGTTCCTGGAGGTTCCTGGAAAGAATTTGTTTGAGGTTGGGAGGTTGTCTGTAGGCGAGGACTGGCCTTTGCTCCAAAGCCTCAGAGTGAGGGGTCATTTTCCAGGATAAGCTGCAGATTGTGGCTAATGCGTTGGAGGGGTTGACGTTGCGGACTATAGGGCTGTGTCTAGCCTACTTCCCTTTATCGGTAAAGGGATGTAAATTAGGCACGTTGATATTGCAAATGACGCTGGGATTTAACCATTTGCATAATGGTGGCTGACGCTTTTTCCCCGAAATGGGGCTTTTCTGGAAAAAAACCAACCACAGCCGTTTAGACGGGAATCTTTCGAAAATAAAACCCTGTTTCGAAAGATCCTGTCAACCTCATTTTTTGAGGCGTCCAGGACCTTTCCAAAAAGGGTTTTATTTTCAAAAGATTCCTGTCTAAACTGCCGGGTTTTTTCGAAAAAGCCCCGTTTTAAAAAAAAAGCAGCCGCCATTATGCAAATGAAGCACGGGATATTTAAATTATGGCTTCATTTGCAATATCGATGTGCCTCATTTACATCTCTTTACCGATAAAGTGATGTAGTCTAGACCAAGCAAGGTGATGCCAAGTGGAATTCTGGGGACTATAGACTAGTTGAGTAACCAACAGGAATTCGTGAGGTTCAGTGACTATTCAATTAACCGATATTTAACATCCCTACTCCAGTTTCACCCGCGCCCCAACCAGCACCACACCTTACATTGGGAAGAGGTTATTAAAACCCGTCTCACCAAATCCAAACAGGTTCCACCGATCCCAGCTCAATGCACACCTCAGACCTGACCCCAAAGAGTGTGCTGTGTTGATCCTTTAGAGCAGGGGCAGGGAACCTTTTTCAGGTTGAGGGCTTAAGAAAGAAAGAAAAGGAAAAGGAAAAGGAAAAGATCGGCTGGTTTTCTAGCAGATCTGTTCTCTACAATCAACGAACCTACGCATGGGGCAAAACATGGACTTGTCTGATTCTGTGGTTGAGTTTTTTGTCCCCTCAGCTGTCCAGGGAGGGCATTTTCATTTCAGGCCAGCAGGGGTTTTAAATACACGTTTGCATTTTGAAATATAAGAAAAGGAAAAGGAAAAGGAAAAGATCGGCTGGTTTTCTAGCAGATCTGTTCTCTACAATCAACGAACCTACGCATGGGGCAAAACATGGACTTGTCTGATTCTGTGGTTGAGTTTTTTGTCCCCTCAGCTGTCCAGGGAGGGCATTTTCATTTCAGGCCAGCAGGGGTTTTAAATACACGTTTGCATTTTGAAATATCAAATGGCAGGGGCAAAGCAGCAGAAGCCCCTGAAAATCAAACCATTTGACCTTTCCCAAATTGTTTCCCCCGCCCTGCCGACTGAAAAAAAGGTTCAAGATTGTCTCAGGTGTGCGCAAGGTCCCAGGAAGGTTTTGTGCGGCTGATGCTCAGTGCCCAGGTGTGTGGCAAAGCTGGAACCCAGCTGAGCCGCGAGGATGGGTTGGCAATAACTCCTCCTCCTCCAGCACCCAAAGCTACTGACTTTTACTTGCTGCTGCTGCCTGATTTGGCTGGCACGACCCATCCACGGCCAATCCTTTGGAGCAGAAGCGGCTAGTCCGAGCACTGTGTGGTGTCCGGGGTGACCAGGATGGGATACAAACACCTCGTTGGCTAAATGAATTAGGATCAAGCGGCCGCAGGCTCAGAAATCCGGGCCTGCTTTCAGCCAGCTCTGTGCCCCAAACAGCTTTGTCTTGCTGCTTTCTTCCACATCCGCAGCGTCTTTGACGGAACCTCCCCTATGACATGCGTAAACAGACAGAGGCAGGAACGGCATCCTAGCTCGGTGCAGAGCCTGAAATAGAAACCATGTCTCCTCTATCCTAGCTCCAGCGTCCTGGGGAAAGCCTTCTGTGTCTCCCTGGATTAGCTTTTTGCCGTTTTCACTCAGGCCTTGCCTTTAGGCTCCAGGCTTTGGGCGGTGGCTTCCTTCGGTTCCTGCTGTCATGGAATACCAGCTCCTTCATTGCTCCTTGCAGCTAATCCAACAGATTGCCCCGTGATTTCAATCGTGATTCATGGCATCCATCAAAGCCCTCCCTCTCAGGCCGGAGTGGGCCCGGATTGTAATGCTGCGCTATAAATAGAGCGCAAGCCAGGAGTTCTGAACCACTCTCGGCGTCGGAGAGGCCGGGCGGAGCGCCCTGTGGTGAAAAGCCGTCTTATGCAATTCGATCGCAACAGCAACTTGCAAAACAAACAAGCCGGGTCTGTTTGCTGCTGCGCCAGCCCTGGGGGGAGTTGAACACCCTGGTGTGACCTGCAAGCTGCATGGCGGCACCTGGCCTCCTTTGTTCTCCTGTAATTGCTCTCACTGCTCTCATGCCTCTTAGACGCCCCTGTTGCTACCCCGATGGAAGGAGGGTTACGCTAGTGCTGCCCAGGGCCCGAGAGCCGGGCCCCGCAGGGCAGGGGCTGCCCACCGGCAGGGAGATGGCCCTGCCCTGCGGAGCGTGCCGCCT